TTTTTGTTTGCAGGATGAAGGAAGTTACTCGTGTTATAAAGGGACAAAAAAGATGTACAATCAACTGAGAAACTACCTCGGTTCGCCGAATGAATTTCCACCGCACAAGATATTGAACAATTCAAATAAAGCTTTATGTATGTGCAATACATTTCGGCATCGCTTTATTGGCTCGAAAAAAATCCTAAGTCTTTTGGTGGGAAAAATGACTGCGCTTTTGAAAGGAGCTTTTAGGATTTAAAAAAACTAAGTCTTTTGGCGGGAAAATAAAAAAAACTCGAAAAATAAACTAAGTCTTTTGGCGGGAAAATAAAAAACTCGAAAAATAAACTAAGTCTTTTGGCGGGAAAATAGTCTGCGCTTTTGAGTGGGAGTCTTCAGTATAGAGTCAAAAATAAACTAAGTCTTTTGGCGGGAAAAATCTGTGCGGTAGCAGCAGATTTTATCCATCAAAAGATGTCGTGTATTCTGATTTCTTTCACTGGACCCTGTTTAAAAGTGTGGAAAATTTTCCCGGCTCGGCAACCCTCCATAGGCAAAATGTATAAAAAGAGATAGCCTACATTCTTACTAGTTTCCAGGCCCTTTCAAAAGCGCAGATTTTTTTTGGTTTCCCATGTAAATAAAGTGAGAGAAATTTATTGATTACAAATAAAGCAAGACTCATTTATTGATTACAATTGTTTGTTTATTTCAAGTTTTTAATTACAAGAATATTATTAACTATTGTACAATGTTGTAAGCGTTAATTATATTTCTAAGTACAACAAAACAACTTTCTAATTACAAAGGCAAAAATTCACTATTGAAACTGAATAATAAATATACCGATTCAAAATAAAGTATTTTCTACTTATTTTACAAACGAACGACTACTGGAAAACTTTGCGATAAATTGTACAGGTAAATACTGTAGGTATAGAAATAATTTTCTGCTAATTTGTTAAGTATTTTTTTTTGCAAACAAAATCAATAATCAAATACTAAGTGTCGAAAACGTTGATTTCATAGGTAAGGTAAAATACGACCTAAACGCGGACCCGTGCAATATGAAAGAAAATTACGCGGAATAAATGTTTTAAGACCAAATTTGTGCACCATTTATTTTGGTATATATTCAACAAATTAGATTTTTGGTGCACAATTTGAAAACAATCTTGGTAAATTGCTAGATTCAATAATGATAGTAATTTCTTCTCGATATCTAAATTCAAGTCTTCTAGTATTTAATATTGCACGGGTTTAAACGCTAAACTACTAAATATCAACTGACAAAATCTCCTTGCCGCTTTTCCCAAATTCGTTGGAATAATTTGGTAGTATATTGAGACAATTTTCCTTGCGGATCAATAAGATAATTCTCCTGACCTTGACGCCTAGTATTGTACTGATATGTTGAAGAGAAACTAGTTGTCAATCGCTTTTACGGTAAAACTAGTTTTGTTACCTAATGAAGACCAGAGAACGAAAACTTGAGCAAATATGATTCAGCATCTGTTCATTCAGCTGGCATCTGTCGTCCATTGCAATCCAGAGTAAGCGATGATCTGAAGAAAAATAAAGGAAATCCATGTCAACAATTGATAGTATTTTATTTATCCTTATTATACGACATAGCATTTTAGAGTGCGAAACCGTATTACACGAGTCTTAGTCCCCCTGACCGCGCGCTACGGAAAACACTGTGAAAGTCTATATTTTAGGAAAGATATTATGTCGTATAATAAACAATTTATTCAGCGGAAAGTTGTGTAATACGGCTGGGCATTTTTACTCGTAAATGCGTATTTTTTCTCCCCTAAAGGCTCGAAAAAATAAAAACTGACTCGTAAAAATGCCCAGCCGTATTACACAACTTTCCGCTGAATAACCTCTTTGTATTCAGCAAGCACTGTTTAGGACAGGAGGATGATTTTACGAGGTTTGAATTGCGTTAGAGCGTAAATACGAAAATTATTTGCTAATGGCTGCCAACCTGGTTCCCAGGGTCTCTCTTCTTCCCGCCAACAGTGATTGGCGGGAAGAAGAGAGACCCTGGGAACGAGGTTGAATGGCTGCTTGGTGTGCGTGACAAAATAATTTACATTTTGTTGTATTCATGAAAGCCGGCGTGATGGTTTTTGTATTATAATGCAAATCAGTTACCTGATTTCTGAGAAGAAAACAACTTTAAAATCCACAGAGATTTGAAGTAAAAATTATTCGTATGCGGTTTAATCGTTTTCCATGTATTTCATATTCCTGACATTAGAAATATTTCGCTCTCAAATATAATTTTGACGCGATTTTGACACTGCATGAACTTGACTTTTAAAGCGAATCAATTTTACGAGATTTATTTTCATTGTTTACACCCTGGCCTGACTAATTTACATTTGTATGAAAACATCATGGCGGCGATCGTGAAGTTCATTCAAGGTCAACCAAAACGATAGGAGGATGTGTAAGTCATAAAAATTTGCCCAAAAAACTTTTAGCTTTGAAAAAACCCAGATAAATTTAGGAAAGCAGTCCAAATCCAAGTGATAAGGAGAAAAAATAATTTCAGAGGAGTCCCAACAGTAGACCTTCTTTTGGCTCGTCACGCAATCTCTCCTCGAGGAGAGATTGCGTGACGAGCCGAAAGAAGGTCTGCGATAAGGCTATCCCAACAGTTGAACATGAATTTGTTTACGCCCTGACCTGGCTAAGTTACATTTGTATGAAAAACATCATGGCGGCGATCGTGAAGTTCACTCAAGGTCAACCAAAACGATTGGAGGATGTGCAAGTCTTCGAAATTTGCCCAAAAAACGTTTAGCTTTCAAAAATTCAGACAAATTTAGGAAAAACAGTCTTAATCCAAGTGATAAGGAGAAAAAATAATTTCAGAGGAGTCCCAAACATTGAACATGAATTTGTTTACGGCCTGACCTGGCTAATTTACATTTGTATGAAAACATCATGGCGGCGATCGTGAAGTTCAGTCAAGGTCAACCAAAACGATTGGAGGATGTGCAAGTCTTCGAAATTTGCCCAAAAAACTTTTAGCTTTCAAAAATTCAGACAAATTTAGGAAAACAACTCTCTAATTATAAATGATAAGGAGAAAATAAATAAAAAATCCCAAACTGTGGAACATTTGTCAATTTAAGAGCTTGTCTATTTTTAGCATCAATAAAGTGTTTTGTAAATTTATTCCATGTGTTTTTTGTTGTGATACCGCATAGCTGTAACTGAGCCTGCAGTGAAATATTCATTTGAATAAAAATCGTGCAAACGAGGCGTTCGAATCAAAACAAGTCCAGAATGCTCAAACAAAATAAATTCCTTTTGCAGTGAAATTCAGATATCTTGTACCCCATTCATACCAATTAAACATGTTGCTCAATGAATTTGAACTGATTGAAAATCGGTGCAAGAATTCTGGAGGCCGTAATATATAATTTTGCCCAGAGTTGCAATGGGCCTGCACTTGTTTCATCATGTGATCATGTTAAGACAATTAACCTCTGTACTATAAGAAACGTTTATACAGAAAATATTTTTCACGATGTTCACATAACTGACAGATTTACACTGCATTACATGTTAGAGATCTGGTATGAATGGGCAAGATTAGACATCGTATTGAGTATGATCGTAACAGTAAACAATCAACACACCTTCTTCCTTAACTAAGACGATATTCTGTCTCTAACTGATTTCTTTTCCCTTTTCCAGCTCAAACACGGCATTTTGTAATCTGTAAAAATAAATAAGACAACGTAAGTGATTATGTTCTGTAATCACTTAGCTAAACAATCTATTATAAACTCTACAACACACGTTAAAAATGATGGACCTTTAACAACGTTTGCCGGCCTCCTTATCAGAGTAAACCCGAAATTAAATGTACAAGTCGGAGAAATTATGTGTCCCTCTCCCATGGTGTAGATATTTCCAACTAACTTTAGCCATTTTTAATCAATGACAAATCAACCAAGGGAAAACCTTGCAGTAGACACATGTACGCGTTGCGTACCTATTTCTTTAATCGATGGCACTTATTTGATACAAATTACGTTAGTAAAAAGGCGAATAATTAAACGAATCGTTACCTGAAGAAATTGTCGAATTTGGTCATGGATATGGATAGCTTCCTTGCATGGAATCTTGGTGGCTTGGTTTCTCTCCTGTTGTCGAAACAGATAAAAAATATATGAATATAGAATAAAACCGCGAAATTATTTGCAATTGTTTGAAAGGACACGAAGAAATTGCTTATCAATATAGTGTAATATATAATTCGGCTTACAAGTAAGTCAAGTAAAAATAAACAAATGCAGATATACTAGTTTTTCTTCAACGGCTTACAAAAGAAAAAAGCTGACTAAAGATACCTGTACCAAATAAAATTGTAGCTTCATATAGTTTCTTACCTTGAAGAGGACTCAAAGACCATTTACTATGAGTACATTGCGGCATCTTTGTTCCGGCAGACGCGAAGCATGTGCTTGCAAGTTTTGCTTTAACTCAAGTTCTTGTCCAACTATTTGTGTTTCGTTACAGCTCGAAGCGTTGAAACTCCTAAACTGCAGCCTGCTCGAAGCTTTTCTGAAGCAATGGGCCGAGGAAAAAGTTACATTTCTTCTTGTAATGTTTAACGTGGATGGCAAAGCGAACGGCTGGCTACACGACAGTTTGTCACATGTATAATTTACAATTTAAATTTCCAAGGCTTGGTTATCAAACAATAAGCTGTTGTTTCAATGCGATGATTTGATTGGCTCTCTTCCCATTGTAATAAGATGCGGGACATTCAAACTTTTGAATATGCGATTTCCTTCGCCTCTGTTTCGAAATGAGGTTTGCATGGTGCAATTTAAACTTTTCGCAATACAAATAAAAAAATAAAATAAAATGAAAGCGAACATTTGATAATTCTCAATAGCAAGAAAAATGTTGAAACTTATGTTAAAATTATAATCGAGAAAATATTATCCAGTCAGTGACACAAGCTACTTGAAAAAAAAATCTGGTTCTCCCAACAGGACTCGAACCTATGACCTAACGCACTTCGGTCGAACGCTCTACCACTGAGCTACAGGAGACTCGTGGGAGCTAAGGCCATATAACTAGGTTCAAATGTGACAAACATCCCGCATATCACTGGAAAATTTGAAACATTTACAGACGACTTCACTAAAGGGGGGCACTTTTCGGTGGTGATTTTAGCAATGTTTAAAGGGGGACACTTTTCGGTGGTGATTTTAAAATGTTTTGAAATTTACAGACATTTTAGTTCTGATGGCGTAAAATGTCTATGAAATGTTGCAGTTTTTCTTGTAAAGTTTATGCTGGATTTATAGAGATTTTATAACATATTTTCTCTATAAAAGAGCATGGGGACAAATACTCTGTAATAATGCCAATTTACAGACTTAAGAAGATTTCTAGGCGGAGACTTAAGAATTTTTCTGGGCGGAGCCTTAAGAAGATTTCTAGGCGCAGCACTTCTAGCTATAGGCGGATAACTTGCTGTGTGGTATATGGTTCTCTGTGTGGTATATGGTTCACTGTGTGGTACATGGTTCACAGCTGTGTGGTACATGGTTCACTGTGTGGTACATGGCTCGCTGTGTGGTACATGGTTCACTGTGTGGTACATGGTTCACTGTGTGGTACATGGTTCGTGGTTTGTTAAATGGTTCACTGTGTGGTACATGGTTCACTGTGTGGTACATGGTTCCCTGTGTGGTACATGGTTCACAGCTGTGTGGTACATGGTTCACTGTGTGGTACATGGTTCACTGTGTGGTACATGGTCTGTGTGGTACATGGTTCACTGTGTGGTACATGGTTCACTGTGTGGTACATGGTTCACTGTGTGGTACATGGTTCACTGTGTGGTACATGGTTCACTGTGTGGTACATGGTCTGTGTGGTACATGGTTCACTGTGTGGTACATGTTCGCTGTGTGGTACATGGTTCGCTGTGTGGTATTTGGTTCTCTGTGTGGTACATGGTTCACTATGTGGTACATGGTTCACTGTGTGGTACAGGCCCGTAGGGAGGGGGGTGCGATGGGTGCGTCCGCAACGCCCCCCCCCCCCCCCACGGGCTGTGGAGGTCCACCTATAGTCCACCTTTTGGTTTGAAAATGAAGTCTGAATCAAACAATCGCAGCTTTGAACGCGTTTACATGTCGTCTTCGTCAACAAAGACAACATCAAGCGAGTCATTTTCATCCAAATATTCACTCCTTTGGCTTAAAAATGTCTTGAATCGAAGGTCCGCATTATGTATTTTTAGTATTCTTTCATCGGAATTTTCTTTAACTGAACAGTTCCAGAAATATTCATGTTTTTACGTTTGCTTTTGGCTGCCTGGTTTCATATCATACTGCCTTCAAAACGCACGAAATGCAGTCTCAGACAACCTAATCTTTCAAAATTTCACGGGGGAGCATGCCCCCGGACCCCCCTAGTAGGTCGCGCCTTCGGCGCTCGCGCGAAGCCAGGCGGGGATGTGTTCTCTTAGATCATCCTCTCTTGACAATGGTTAAAAATCTAACAAGCATTTCGCGAGTTCGTCACTATAGTAAAAAGCTGTACTAAAAGAGATCGGCTTTAATTAAAAGATGTAGTCAAAACTTCAACAATGTTGTCTTTTTGTGTGTTTTGTCCTATAAGAAACGTAAGCGTCAGTTAACGCTGACCTGTATATTCCTATCTGGGCCACTTCGCAACCGTTTCAATTCAATTTCAATTTTTTATTTGCCCAAAATCAAGTATTATTACAATTTCGTTCTCATCACTGGTGTTACAATATTGAGCGGGAAGTCTCAGAAGCCTTTCTAGTCTTATCTGAGAGACCCCTCTGAAAACAAAAACATATCTGCAGACGAATATCAATACATATTTTGTGTTAAAGAAGTTGTGTTTATTTATAGAGAGCGGCATGCATTATAAATGCAGACTGCATGAGTTTCTGTTCGGCTGCTGTCCCTGTTTTTCATGAGCACGGTGTCGAGCCGCCCAAGAAGATAACCAAACCGAAAACAACTATTTCCTCTGGCCCAACGGCGTCTTGTCTGAATGAAGAATGAACACGGAAAAGTAAAGTAAATTATAAATTTAGTTGAATGACATGTACAAGGAGCGAGCTCAAGTTAGGTTGAGTTTTATTAATTCTCGCATGAATGGCCGGTTTGATGATGATGTGATACGTAAGTGCCCCTTTAAAACGCATTGTTATCGTGATTGGCCATTTTCCACCCATGATGACGTAACATAACGCGAGACAGGCTTTTAGAGAAAACAAATTCATCGCTCATAATTACTCAGTAAGATATTAGCGGTCGACCCATTCAGGTCAGCAATATCTTGCGGAGATCGAAACATTACAGAAGAAGACAAATACGTATACCTAACTCTGAGTGAATTGAGAAGGAAAGCAATGTTCATGAAGGGGGTTCCCTTTGTACTTGTTACTTTTATATCACTATCGCAAGGTATGTACTGATAGCCTTTTTCCGGCGAATAATTAACTGATATCCTCATCATCACAAAGTTTAATTAACCTTTTCACTCCCAAGAACGGCTAAGTGCAAAACTGAGTATCTGAAATATCGCGAATTTCATTTTGCAAAATTGTCAAACACAAACAGTACCACATTAAAGCACTGCTCGATTGCTTTCATTTGAATGGTCACACACTAGGGTTTCATCCACAGACTAAAAATTAGAACCATCTTGTACAGCATAATACACGGTACAACATGAAAGTACTGCTCAATAGCTTTCATTCGAATGGTCACACACTAGGGTTTCATGCACAGACTTAAGAGCTATTCTCTGTAACAGTCAAGCAAAGTGGGAAATGAAAATTTCTCACCTTCATTCAAATTTTGCATGCAGTTAGACATTCAGGGTGGAAGTTCAAAAATACCCGTTGTTAAGGTTGCTACTTTATTGTTGGCATGGTAACGCCGAATGTTTGTTGGTGGCCCAAAAGCTAATTTTTAACTCAGAAACTGTTGTAAAAAGTGCAAAATGTAAACTACTGTTTCTCCAGTCCATTAAAACACTACAACTCAAGACTTGCAGCAGATATAAAACTATCATTCTAGTTTACATTTATGTATCTTTCTTTTTATAATATTAAATTTACATAGTCTAAACGGTCAGTCAACTACATAGAGTTTTCGGCCATTTGAGTAGATGGGTAAAACTAGCTAATCCTTTTCTTTAATTTCTCCAAAAGTACATCGGTTCTAGAGCTGAAACTCAGCAGGTAGTTTACACAGATATTCTAGTTTACTATATCTGTAAAAATCTCTGCGGGGCGGGCTCTCTTTTTCCCAAGGGCAGTTAACGAACAAACCTCAAAAATCAGTTTTTGTATATTTCGGCGAAATTAACATTCTATCTACTTGCCAACAAAATGTCAAAAAAAACTGAAACTGCCTTCATTATGAAAGAATATTATCTGCTGAGTCATGTTCTGATCAAAATAATAGTTTCTGGCTATTATAGTTTTAAACAATATAGACAATATCGATCAAAATAAGCTTTTACTTTATGATTTTCTCCAGTTTTACCACTTGCTACTGCGCATTCATACTTAACACAAATGGATGCTCGAGCCTTTTCATGCGCCTGGTGCCAATGTTTATCTTCAATTGTGATCCAATAAGTAATTTACAACAAGTTATAAAGCAGTGATAAAGAAGTTCATTTAGCAATCCAAGCTGCACCTTATGAACAGTCAACACGTACATTTCCACCTTGGAAGTTACGGCGTATTCTCCATCAGATGCCATCAGTCGCTCCAGAAGAAGTTAAACATTCCGCTTTTTAGTCGTTAAGACAATCAACGGAGTTATTCAAGTAAGCTTATTTAACTCCGACAAATCTAGTCCAAAAGCTTGCTGAAAGGCTGAAAGCCACATACTATAATATCAAACATTTGTTGACAGTCCCGTGAACATGGTCAGCGGTGTTAATCGATGTAACATTCATGTGAATAACAACAGGTGTCACAACAGGTGCAAATGCGAACTTCGTTATGGAGATTTGCCAGTTTGTTTCTCCCCGGACGGTGAAATGGAATTATTTTTTCTCAGTGACTGTGATCGTGATATATCAACGCATCTGCAAACTTACGGGCTCAGCAAATGTACAAAAGATATTACCGATGAAGTGGACTTATTACTCTGCCGTGCTGGTAAGTTATCTAGCTTGATTTTATTTTCTTCCCCCTTCTGTAAAGTAACAGAAAAAACGTGCAGTAACTCCTATGGCCTCGCGCCGTCAGTAGGATTTGAAATGTTGTGTCCGCACAAACTTCGAAATTCATTTAACTAAGACCGTAATTGCAGGAATCTGGAACGCTGAAATAGAGGGAACATGGACTTAGAGTTCAGTACTCAGATTACAAAAAACTAGCACGTCGCTGTTGAAAAGAATGTTTAGAGGCTAACGACATTAAGCGATTATTGGAAAGACAAATTTCCGAAAATCCTGACTGTAGGGCAGCATATCGTTTTGTTAAGGCTTACGGGCGGGTTTGTTTACTGTAATTGGCAGCCCTTATTTGTCCTTGTTAGACATGGTTTGGGCATTAAAGTCAAAGCCAAAGGCAACTAGATTCAGCGAAAAGCAAACGACTTTTCTTGAAAACAAATTTTTACAAGGAGAGAAATCAGGGAAGAAAGAAACTGGGAAAGCGGTAGCAAAAGAAATAAGAAAAGCTAAAGATGCAAACAATCAGCGATTGTTTACATTGGAAGAATTTCTATCCCCACAGCAAATCTCCTCTTACTTTTCTCGCTTTGCAGCAAAACGAAAGCAGCTCGGCGAGTCTGAATATGAAGCCGCAGAAAACGAACATGTTCTGCAAGAAGTTAGAGAAGATATCATGACTTCCTTAGGGCAAGATCTGAATAGCCACAAGCATCCAATTGTGCATGAAGAACTACAATTATGTGAGATGTCGAAAGATGAATTGTCTTTGCTACGCATGGCAACGATTAAATCCAGCTATAGAGAGTATGACATGGAAATTTCAGGAAGGCGAAAGGACCCTTATTTTGAGTGTGTTGTTTCT